AGGAATGAGAGAGGGTGTACCACTACCGATCCTACTGATGTTAAAAAAATAGTAAAGGGAATAATATGAACAACTTTACAGCAATAAACTCAGCAACTTTAAATGAAAATCACAATTTATCACAACTGAAACAAGAAAAAATAGAAATCTGAATAACCCTGTAATCTATTGAAGAAATTGAGTGTGTAACCGAAATCTTCCCAAAAAGAAAACTTCAGACTTAGATGAATTCTGTTAACATTTAAAGAATAACTAGAACCATTTTTAACAAATTTTCAGACAATGGAGGAGGAGGAAACACTTCTCAAATCACTTTATGGGATTAGCCTAGCTTTGCTATCAAAACCTGATATAGATGTTACAAAAAATTACAGACCAATGTGCCTCATGAACATAGGTGTAAAAATCCTCAACAAAGTGCTAGCACAATTGAAATTTACACCAAGAATACAAGGTTGGTTTCACATTTGAAAATCCGTCAGCATAATTCAACATCTGGACAGAATAAAGAGAAAAACAATAAGATTATTTCGATCAATGCAATAAACACATTTGACAAAATTCCAAACCCTTTCATGATTTTTAAAAAACTCAAAAAGCTAGAAATAGAAGAGAACATCTTCAGTCTGATAAAGGAAACCTACATCTAACATCATATTTAATAGAAATGTAATGGACACTTTCCCCCTGTGATCAGGAACAAGGCAAGATTTTCTACTCTCATGACTTCTGTTTAGTACATGCTGGAGGTCCTAGTCAGGGCAATAATTCAAGACAAAGAAATAGAAGATAAAGAGATTGAAGAAAAGCACAAGTGGTGCCAGTCCAGTGGTGTAGTGGTTAAGTTCAGCACATTCCACTTCGACAACCCAGGTTCACAGGTTCAGATCCTGGGCACAGACCTACATCACTCATCAAGGCATGCTCTGGTGGCAACCCACATACAAAATAGAGGAAGATTGGCATAGATGTTAGCTCAGGGCTAATCTTCCTCAAGCAAAAAGAGGAGCATTGGCAATGGATGTTAGCTCAGGGCCTATCTTCTTCACCAAAGAAAAAGGAAAAAAAGCACAAGTGGAAGTTTTTGTTCACTGAAGATATAATTGTTTATGTAGAAAATCCTCAGGAATCTACAAAACAACTAGTAGAACTCATGAGTGAATTAAGTGAGGCCACAGAAAACAAGGTCTGTATACAAAAATCAATGGTATTTCTGTACATTAGTAGCATTTGGCTGGTAAATGAAATTTTAAAATTCATTTTCAATGATGTCAAAAAACAAAATTTAGCAAGACTTCTAAAATGAAAACTATAAACCATTGTGAAAGAAATTAAACAAGACCTAAAAATGGAGAGATGTATCATGTAAGTGGATTGGAAGACTCAATATTGTTCTCCCCCGAGTTGTTCTCTGGATTCAACACAATCTAAGTTAAATTCTCACCAACTTTTTTATAGAAAATTAAAAGTGGATCCTAAAATTTGTATGGAAGAGCAAGGGCCAAACAAACCCTTTCCAATGAGGAAAGGAGAGTCTAAAGACGTGGTTCTGGGACAACTGGATAAACATACAAGAAGGAAAAGAACCACACCCAGTACCTCGTACAATACACAGAAATTAATTTGGGATGGATCATAGACTAAATGTAAAAACTAAAACTATGACGATATGGAAGGAAACATAGGAAAGTATTTTTCCACCTTTGGGCTAAGCAAGTATTCTTCAAGATACAGAAAGCACTGATCTAAATAATGATAAAGTGGACTTGGTGAAAGTTAAAAACTTCTGTCAATCAAAAGTCATAATTAAGCAATAAGCTAATCTAGATAAAGTGTATATGAGTCTTCTGTGTACTATTCTTGATACTTTTCTCTAAGTTAGAAATTATTTCTAAATAAAAAGTTAAAAAAGATTCCATGAAGATAATAGGCAAGAAAATATTCACAATACGTATATCTGACAAAGGACATGTATCCAAAATATATAAATAACTTTTATAATTAGAAAACAGCTCAATAAAAATTGAGCAAAAGACTTTAACAGATACTTCACAAGATATACCAGTAAACACATTTAAAGTGTTCAATATCACTTTTCATAAGAGAAATACAAACAAAATCACAATGGTATCCATTTCATACCCACTAGAATTGGCTAACGTTAAAGTCTGATAGCACCAAACATTGGTGAGGTTGTAGAACCACTGCAACCACTTTGGAGAAATGTTTGTATAAAGCTGTGTGTATATCTTCCCCAACGACCCAGTAATCACATTCCTAGTTATCAAAAGAATGAAAATACATGTCCACGGGAAGACTCTACATGCATGTTCATACAGGTTTTATTCATAAAAAGCCAATACTGGATACAAATATCCATTAACAGGAGAATGGATAAAGTGTCGTATAGCCATACAAGACTTAGCAATTTAAAAAAAGAACTATTGACACATGCTACAACATGGATGAATCTCAAAAACATCATGTTAAGTGAGAGAAGCCAGTCACAAAAGAATATATTCTATACCGATCCATTTATAAGAAGTTCAAGAACAGACAAAACTTACCCATGGTAATAGAAATCAGGAGTGAGGATTGGCTAGAAGGGGCCAGGAGGGAACTTTCTAGAGTGATGGAAATGTTCTATACTTTGATTGGTGGGGTGATTACATGGCTGTATACATTTATCAAAACACATGAGATTGTACACTAAAACCTGTGCATTTCAGTTACAAAAATTTTAGCCCCAAAGAGAAATAAAAGGCATCATAATTATTTATTTTTATGATATCTATTCATCATGCAAGGTAGAATGTTGACCTCTAATAGCTTTCTATTGTGAACAAGACATTTATAAACCCCTTACCTTGACATAAAAGCCCTGCGTGGTTTGGCTCTTGCCTACCCTTTCCACCTCATGTGCCTCCCTTACCTACTAGATCCTAGCCTTACTGGCTTTACTAAATTAGGTCATTTCTTGACATTTTCTAGTTTAATCTCTTATTTGTTTCCTTCATTGCATTTAGGGTAACTGGCATTTGTTTTGTCTCTTTATAGTTTTTTTCACCTGCCTTTTCTACTAAAATAGATGCTCCCGGAGGGTAGGGACCTTGCCTTTTTCACAGTTGTGTTCCTCAATGTATCCCAGGATATTGTCTAGCTCAGTGTATTTGCTGAACGTGTGAGTGAATGGATGTTCCTATTGTTCCGTATGTCGATAAAGTGGTAGTATACTCAAATCTTCCTCACTTTGGACTTTGATCCTTACCAATTCAAATAAAAATGACATAATCTTATCCCTATAAGCAAAGCAAGCCTGTAATAAAACTGTGTCTCAAATGAGTTTTTGGTTGATACAATGAAACTTTCTGTTTGAGGCAAGGGAGTTTTTGTTTTCTTTTCCTTCCCAGAATCTCTATATCGTCTTTCTTTCTATGTCCTAATCAGAGCTTCTTACAGAAGAGACCTACTAGCGTGCTTTATGACAATGCTTTCTAAACATATTTGATCCTGAATCCTATTAATAAAATGTTTGAGCACACCAACTACATAGGTACATTTATTTATTTCAAAAATATATAAATATATTTCTGTACTACTGTATAATGAAACATGCACAAAAATAACATTTTAAGAGGATGAGGTGAAAGTTAGTTCTAATATTTTGCTTCTGCACTTCAGTGCATGGCTGTCTATCACCCCTCCTCCCCATGTGCTCATCCCACTTTGGAGACAGTACCTTGGGGCAAATATTATACCGCATTTACCTCTACATCTAAGTGTAAAACTAAAGTAGTGTTAACACTTTTGCGTTTGAAACCTTACCTCTGACTATGGATTGAAAGGCTTTATTGCTTTTTAAGTGAATTTATGGTATTGTCTAGTGCAGGTAGGGTAGAATTTTTAGGTCTGGGGCATACTCTGAAATCATCTCACCTAATTTTTATTGTACTTATTTTCAACATTGTTCAGTGATAGTTTTTCTACAGAAAAATATGTGGAGTATTTTAGAGGAAGGAAATAATGAAATTAGAAAAGTGGGAGGGGAGGCAAGGAAGAGCTATAGAAAAGGCTATGTTGATTTAAAAAATTATTAATTGCACTATAAATATTGGTAGCAGTGTATTTGAATGAAATGTTGTCTCCTTGGGGGGATTGCTAATTGTAGAAAATTAGCACTTAGTACATCTAGACAAAGTTGCTAAAAATGGGGAAAAAAATCACTGTTCTCCAGCAAAAGGACAGTCTTTAAGGGAGCATCAGTTCTACAGTATAGCAGCCTGAGACAGCTCTGGAGATTTTAAGCCTCCTGTGTTACCTCTGAGACCTAAAGGAAGCAGAACATAAAAATGAGCCTCTATCAATTTGAAGCAGACCTAATCTTTGTGATCATGACTGTGGTGTAAATCTATTAAAGATGTTCAAATTCAATGTCCTTGGTGTCACTGCAGGTTGACCTGAATAGTGAGCAATAAACTTGTGTATTATATTTCTGGCTCGAAGATATGTGCTTAGGAAGTGAAACCGACAGTCAGTGTTTTGTGTCTGTCTGTAAGCAGACTAAGAGCCTATATAAAATGACAGCTGCATTTTTAGGGAAAGAAACCCATAATGTTTTCTTATTTAGTAGGTGACAGTATGTCCCAAGATAACACAAGTTTAAGGGGCTGGAGCAAGTATGGTTATTAAAGGCTAGCAGTTTCTCAGTTCATATAAATTGAATTTTTTCATATGCTAGAAGACTGTGGAAATCTAGTGTAGAGTACTGAAATAAATTAGCATATTAAGTGAATTTATACATTCAGACTTGTGAGCACTTTGAATTTAAGGAAGAAATTTTATTACTTCTTGAAAGAAAAGGGCAATTTTTAAATTCTATGTTTGATCTCCCTGTTGGAAAGGGCCTATATGATAAATTATATCATTTTGATGATTATCCAAAGAAGTGGTTATTACATTGATGGGAATTTTTCTCTCTTCTCTCCTCTCTGTTTCATAAGAATTACTGATTTAGGGAACATCAAAAGAAGATTGTATTTATCAACCGTCCATAAGGAACTGTCCTCAACCCCTCTTCATGCAAAAATCCCACTCTTCATGATCAAGCGCAAAATTGTAAGTATCACGTGAATGTTGCTTCAAATACTAAATTCAGTTCAGCAAATATTAATTATGGGCTTACTCTGTGTATAAGGCACTTTGTTAACTACCATGGTGGTATAAAAAGTGAATAAAATTCACGTTCTTCCTTTCTGTCCCAAGAAAGAGTTTAAAATTGACTAAGTGGGCGAATATAATTATTTGAACATCTAGAATACTACCAAAACCGTGATAGGAAGCACAGTGGAGAGAGAGGTGCTATTGGTTTTGTGAAAGGGAAAGAAGTCCATCTGACTGCAGGATGAGGAAAGTCTTCATGAGGAGATTGCACTTAGCATGGATTTGGAAGGACTGTAGGATTTCAATAGGTAGAGATGGGAACCGAATATTCCAAGCAGAAGGAACAGCACAAGTGGAAGCATGGAGGCCGGAAACTGGTACATATTTAGAGAACAGAAAATGATTGCTCGTTGTTGCCTGATTAAAAAAACCATAGCCTTAAGGGAACAAAACTCCTACAATACTGCAGCCTGATAATGGGTTGGGAGATCTGTGTAGTCTCTGAGACCTAAAGCAGCATAGCAGTAAAGACCTAAAGCAGTATAAGTAGGTGAGCAATAGGTTATAGGTGAAGAAGCTTGGGCCTCATTTGACAGACAAGTCTTTCTCAAACTTCAGTCATGTCAGTGCTACTCTCATGACTTTACCATGTCTGTGTACTACCTGTCCCAGTATGTACTTAATACTGTTTTTTAAATCAGCTCACTTTTGCGGGGGGCTTAAATAAATTTATTTTATTTATTTATTTATTTATTTTTGAGGAAGATTAGCCCTGAGCTAACTGCCACCAATCCTTCTCTTTTTGCTGAGGAAGACTGGCCCTGAGCTAACATCCATGCCCATCTTCCTCTACTTTGTATGTGGGATGCCTACCACAGCATGGCTTGCCAAGCAGTGCCATGTCTGCACCCAGGATCTGAACCGGTGAACCCCGGGCCGCCAAAGCGGAACATGCAAACTTAATTGCTGCACCACTGGGCTGGCCCCAGGAAATTTATTTTAGAAGAAAACTTTATATCACAGTTACAAATGGAAAACCAGTGTAACTTTCCAAAAATAAAATGTAACCACAACAATAACTGAAAAGAAAACAATGTTTTAAAGTCCAGCTAAGTACTGTTTTCCTGTTTAGAGATCTGTCCTGAGGCCTACTCTTTGTTATAAAGAGTTTATCAAGGGTTGGAAACATGTCCAAGCTTTCTCTTTGACATGGTTAGGATGAAAAGAAAACTACTAAAGGGAATTTTTTATTCTATGATCCAGAGTCATTTAATGCCGTGCCCATGCACCATTTGAAATCACTTCACAAATGGTGCATGTGCCACTCTTTGGGAACCATGATAGTAGAGAAAAGGAAGCCATTAAACTTTTGATTCGAAGAAGAATACACAGTCGGTTCTGCGCTTTGGGAAGATTAATCTAGTAGTGATATTTGGAATGGTTTAGAGGGAGTAGAAAGTGGAGATGAGGAGAACATTTGCAATAACCTAGATTAGAGTTAATGAGGACTAGGGCTGTAGCAGTAGTAGTCAAATGAGCTAAGACATATGTAAACAGACCTTTCCCATATAAAGTGGTACATGCTGTGAGAGCAGGAACCACAGTGGACTATGGAGCACAAAGGGAGTGGTCAGAGAAGGCCCTCTGAAGAAGGGGATGCCTGAACTGGGCCTTGAAGAATGAGAAGGAGTCAACCAGTTTAAGTGAGGGGAGTGTTCCTAGAACGAAGGAGCAACATTAAGAGTATCTACATGAGGTGGGCAGGCAAGTCCAGTAATCCAGTGTTGCTGAAGAGAGACCAGAATAGTGGGGAAGTGGTAACGCTGAGAAGTAAGCAGGGGCAACCTCCTGGTGGGCCTTGTATGTCTAGCCAGGGAGCCTGGACTCATCTCATGGGTGATAGGAAGCTACTGAAAGGCTTACAATAGAAGGGGGTGACATAGTGAGATTTGCATGTTAGATAGAACATCACTTTGGAGGGTGGGTGGGAAGGATGAAACTGGAAGCCAGCAGGACCCGGTAGAAAGCCACTGCAGTTGTCACTAGAAGGTAGTCTCCATGAGAGCAGGAGTTTTGTCTCATTTTGTCACCCTTGTATTTCCAGTATCTATAGCAATACCTGGCTCCTCCTAGGCACTCAACAAGTATGTAAGTGGATGGATGGATGGATGGATGGATGGATGGATGGATGGGTGGATGGATGGCTTCATGGATGGATGGATGGATGGATGGATGGGATGGACGATTAGGTAGATGAATAATCTAGGTAAAAGTGATGAGGTCCTAAAGTTGGAAAATATAAATTAGGATGGAGAGGAAGGAACAGAGTTGAAAGATAACTAAAAGTCTTAATTGAAGATTAATTAGATGTTAGAAATGAAGAAAAAGGAAAAGTCAAGTATGACTCTCAGCTTTCTAGTTTAGATGACTGATGATGCAATCAATATATAGAATCTAGGAGAAATTTCAAGTTTAGAAAGGGAAGATGGAAATGTTGATTAAAGGGTCTCTGAGACATTCAGACTGAGAATTGTGGAGGTACATCTATGTTAAAGTCCTGGAGAGGGTCTGGATATTTGGGGTTCTTCAGCATATAAGTGGTAGTTAAAGTCATGGGAATGGATGAAATTGCCTGCAGAGAGAGTAGAGAAGGGCAACAACAACAAAAGAGACCAAAGGAGGAAATGCAAGGGCCTACCCAGTATAAGGGATGGGCAAAGGGAGAAGAATCTGTGAAGGAGACAGAGCAGCAATGAGAAAGTGATGTGAAGTAGAGGGGTGTGTCGTGGAAACAATGGACGGTGCAGTAAGGAAGAATGTCAAAACGTGAAAGTATTTGGGGGATGGAGCCATCGGGAGGCCATTAGCAACTTCACTGAGAAGTTTTGGTGTGTTGAGAAGGAGGCAGGGCAGTGGGCTAAGGGAATGGAAGGTGAGGACATTGTGTGCATGCTGACCATTTCTTTCAACAGGCACATCTGCTGGGCTTCATGTTGGAGTAGATATGAGGAGAGGAGTCAAGGATAAGCTTGAGGTTTTGAATCTGAGAAGCTTAGAAATTGGCAGCCCAGGAACAGATAGAAACTGGATTGTGGAATAAGTTGATGGTTTCTGTTTTCAGTAGAGTTTTTTTAAAAATTCATTTTGTACTAAATATTCATAAATGCTTAAAGATTAAATTCAAATACTTCAGTTATTAAAGTTAAATCATCTAAGACATTAAGGAAATACCTTACAAATAAAATTTTATTCATGCTCTTACATGTTTAGATATTGATTTCCTTATTCTTCTAAGATTGTTTAGAGTTCAGTGTTAGTGGTTTCCAAGAGTTAAATCATATGTGAGACCAATACACTATTCTGTGTGTGGTTAATTAATCAAATTTGTTATTACCTTGCTTTTGTGAGTTCAGTCACTCTTGTCAATTAGCAAACTGTGAAGTTTCCGGATATTTTATTAAAATTGAATCTGATCATTCTGTGCGTGGCTGTAATCCTCACACACAGTGTACCCTTCATCCAGTGGCATTTGTGGGAATACAGTATTTGAAAATGAAATACTATCTTTCTATCACAAGTAAACCTTGCTGAGACGGGAAGTGAAGCTGACCGAACGATCTTTCATATTTAATAAATGCGCAGCACCAAGTATCTAATGACACAAGAAATGTACTATTTAAACTAAAAGTAAAAAATAAACATAATAGCTCCTGTGGGGCAGTGTTCCAAAACTCATCTATCTGCCTCATTTTCCCATCCCCAGCCAGATTACTCAGTAGAGAATGTCAAAGAAAGGAGATGCAGACACAAGTTACATGCAGTTGTTTTAAAAAAAGATCCTAGTGTGAAGTCAAACTGGTCTCTTTAGGTGACTTTAGTTCATGCTAAATTTTAAAAAGCAAAACAGTCACAACATATCTAGAACTTTCCTTCTGAATGTGGTTGAATCTAGAAAGAATTGCTCACTTACATTTGAGACAGTGCTAAGCAATAAGCAAAGACAAGGTATTTGTTTCTATAGTATTCCACATCCCACTGAAATCATCAAATCATAACTACTTGTAGTATGTTCTGATTATTCTATATTTTGTTAAATATAAACATGTAAAGAATCTGTAGGAGTTAAGAGCATAGCATCTGAGTTCTGATACTCACTAGTTATGTGACTCTGTGCACGTTCCTGTGTTCATTTTCCTCATCTATAAAATGCGGATAATATGAGGAACTATTAAGGTGGTTGTGGGAATTTACATCAGTTAATAAACATAAGGCTTTTAGAACAATCCCTGGAATAGACTAAGCCCTCCATAAGGATTATAGCTCCTGTTTGTTCTTTAGGTGCTGCTGCTTCTGGGAAGCCCTCCATGATTACTCCTCTGTGGATTAGATCTTTTGAGTACAGCTCATCATTGCCATTCACAAATTCATAATCCTCATAACACTTCTTCACCCTGCACTTTAATCATCTGTTTACTTATCTGTCTCCCCATTTTGACTATAAGCACGCCTTATTTGGCTTTTATCCCTAGTCCCTGTCAGTATATGGCACACAGTAAGTGCTCAATGAGTGTTTGTCAAATGGATTGGCAAGTCTTAATATGCATCCAGACATAGGAGATAAAATAATGAGTTTATCATGGACAAATTATATAAGCTTTCTAGATGTGCTTGGCGATTCCAGAAATGTCTAGGAATATTCAAACAAATATTAAGAAATTCAGTTCTAAAACTTGCTCTCATTTCCCCTCGCTTTCCTCCCAATCCAACAGCAATTCTTTTCTTCCCACTGCTCATGGAGTCTATTCCCAGTGAGCCCTTACTGAATTAAAGCTGAGTCATGTTTCAGGGGATATTCTACAGAGGGCAGCAAGGTGACAGAGAGCGTTCCACCCATTCAAAATGCCATCCCTGGGGTCTTCCTAGGTGTTTGTGTGATGTTGGCCCCAGTTCTCTGC